GAACATCAGAAGAGCCCTGCTGGATCAGAGCAGTGGTCCATCTAGTCCAGCATCCTATCTCACCCAGTGGCCAACCAGTTCCTCTGGAGGGCCAACAACAGGGCAGAGAGGCCGAGGCCGAGGCCTTCATAAGAACATCAGAAGAGCCCTGCTGGATCAGAGCAGTGGTCCATCTAGTCCAGCATCCTATCTCACCCAGTGGCCAACCAGTTCCTCTGGAGGGCCAACAACAGGGCAGAGAGGCCGAGGCCGAGGCCTTCATAAGAACATCAGAAGAGCCCTGCTGGATCAGAGCAGTGGTCCATCTAGTCCAGCATCCTCATGCGGGAGGCATGCATCAAAATGACTCCTAGAAAGGTCCTTTACTATCTCCCCATGAAAATTCATTAACTCAATTGCCATGCTGGACAATGTCCAAAAACAATTGAACCAAATGGATAAAAGAACCTCAGCAACTAAGAAAACGTTGAGGAAGGCCTGGCGTAATCTGGTCCATGGGGTCGCAAAGAGTCAGACTCGACTGTGCGACTGAACAACAACCATCATAATTGAACCAAATCTTTGTATAACCTGTAATATTAGGTTAAAAAGCATTATTTTCTCAACTATTCAGATCATGACATGCATTATTTTATTTATTTATTTATTTATTTATTTAGGGATTTATATCCCGCCCCATCCAATATTCAGCTCGGGGCGGCTTCCCCTGATGTTGCCTCCTGGCTCTGGGATTCAGAGGTTGACTGCCCCTGAATGTGGAGGTTCCCCTCAGGCATCATGGCTAGTAGGTGCTGACAGACCTCTCCTCCATGAAGCTATCGAATCCCCTTTTGAAACTGTCTACTCATGTGGCTACCACAACATCCTCTGGCAGTGAATTCCACATCTGAATCACTCCATGGCTAGTAGGTGCTGACAGACCTCTCCTCCATGAAGCTATCGAATCCCCTTTTGAAACTGTCTACTCATGTGGCTACCACAACATCCTCTGGCAGTGAATTCCACATCTGAATCACTCTCTGTGTAAAGAAGTATTTCCTTTTGTCCGTCCTGAATCTACTGCCCATTCACTTAATTGGATACCCTCAAATTCTAGTATTTTAGTAGAGGGAGAAAAAATTTTCTCTTTGCCAACTCTCTTCTCTCTCCAGATTGGCAGTGGCTCTCCAGGGACTCCGGTGGAGGACTTTCACATCTCCTACTGCCTGGCCCTTTTTAACTGGAGACGCCGGGGATTGAACCTGGGACCTTCTGCATGCCAAGAAGAGGCTCTTCCCCTGAGATACAGCCCCTCCCCATACAGCTGGTTTGTATTTTACGAGCCTATTTGGGAAAGAAAACACAAACTGGAGTTGGCTGGTTCTGCTATGAAACTAACCACGGTTTGGCAAAAGAAGAAGTTACAAATGGGCTCTGACAGCACAGGGGAAGGGGACACACACGTGCATGAGTTGTGTTTATTCGTCACACTCCTATAGATTATGGGCTTCACAGCAGCACCCAGGGCAGTGTTCCCTCTAAGCTGAGTTTAGTGTGAGCTAGCTCACAGTTTTTTTAGCCTCCAGCTCACACATTTTAAAATTTTATTTCATTTTTTGGAGCTGCAGTGGCTCAAGTGGTTAAGACGCTGAACTGCAGGCTATGGAAGGTCAGTAGTTCAGCAGTTCGAGACCCGGGTGCCGCATGACGGAGTGAGCTCCCATCTCTAGTTCCAGCTCCTGCCAACCTAGCAGTTCGAAAGCAAGAAATTGCAAGTAGATAAATAGGTACCACTTCAGTGGGAAGGGAACAGCGTTCCGTGCACCTTGGTGTTTAGTCATGCCGGCCACATGACCACGGAAACGTCTTCGGACAGCGCTGGCTCTTCGGCTTTGAAACAGAGATGAACACCGCAACCCTAGAGTCAGATTTGACTGGCTTTCGAGCAAGGGAACCTTTACCTTTACACAAATTTTTGTCTTAGCTCAGGAAAGATGGCTCCAGAGCAAACTAATTTATGCAGTAGGTGAATCGCTCACTCACAACTTTAATGCCAGCAGCTCACAAAGTAGA